CTCTAAGTCGTGTTCAATCGGATTCCCAGTGGGACTTCCTCCACTTGTGCTCCAGCCATCTCCCCTGTCGCTTCATCGCCCGCAGTTCAGAAATATACGAAAGAGCTGTCTGGGCTCGGCGAGCAGGGAGAGGGTGCTTAGGAGCAATCGTGTCAACCTTAGCACAATCATACCTTCCTCTTCTTTTACGTTAAAGTCCCAGCAAGCGCGCTCAAAGGGAATAAGAAAGGCTTCTGGCCAGCCTCCTTTTCTATACTCGGGAAATTTCTTGAGATCTATTTTCACATTCCCCTCATTAGCATCAGCATTATTATTGTTGTTATTTTGAGCCATCAATTCTAATTTTTTTCATTTCTATTTGAAATTCCATTTCCCTTCGTCTCTCCTCAGCCTGAGCTCTGGCTTTTTCTCTCTCCATTTCAAAATCTAATTCCTTTTGTCTTTCCTCAGCTCTAGATCTTTCTCTAATTTCTAATTCCCTCAATTTAAATTCTTGTAGTAACCTCCATTTTTCAAACTCTTGGGAGCTTAAATCCCTTTCTCTCCCGAGGCACCCTCATGAGTCTTCTCCTGTTCTATAGATATAGGGACTCCGTCCTCTTCCTGAGGTAATAAGCCTTGTTGTGCCTCTTCAGGATCAATTAACTCCATCATTTGCTTTTTACTTCTTTTAGGAGGCATATTTATGTGTATTTATTTGAATAAGCTGGTTTATTTTGCAGAGATAGTCAAGCGTCTATTTAAAATACTTTTTTTCCTTTCTGAGTTACTCTGTAGCTATCCCTCGGCAGCTAAGGATTGCTACACTGTTTCTTCTGGCACCCAGCAACACTGTTCTTTGGTCTGAGACAATCTATTTTCTATTTTCTTGCCTCCATACTCAAAACTATTTCAGATTTTATATTTTCCAAGCCTCTGCTTGTTCCTGTCTCCTCCAACCTGTTTCTGGCCCTGGCTTCGAGTTCTGTCCACCAGCACTCCCTTCTTAGACCCTTGGATCCAAAGCTAGCCCACAGGTCTATTCAAATCTTGAGGTAAACCTCAAACAGAGCCCCGCTACTAAGCTTTTCCACAAAAGCTCTAGCGAGCCACCCACTCCTTCATGACAGACCTCTCTCTGACTAATAGGTAACTTTGACTCAGAAAATCTACCTTTTTTCTTTGACGTTACTGTATTCTATTCGGATCCTTCTGCTGGTCACCACTTTGTTGCGTTCACCCGTGTCCCTGATTCTTTCTCTCCCAAACTAAGGGTTCATGTTGGTGACATTCCCTGCTTCTTTTGCTGCCATCAGTGGATTTCTTTATCCACCCTGGAAAGGACTTTATTCAGACACTGGCTGCCAACAACAGAACTTGTTTATTAAAGGGTATTAGGGTAATTCAGAATCACAGATGGTTTTTATTCATTTCATAGGATCACAATCGTAAATACATTCAATCACTTCCTGTTTTATTTATTCACTTTAACCAGTTTATCTTTGTTAGTTACAGTTCTCAGGCTTTCTCTGACTGTCTCTGTCTCTCTGCAAACCTCTCTCCCTCTCTACTCCCTCACTCTCTGTCTAACTGACTCTCTGATCCCACCCCTCCAGTCCTCTCATAGGCTCATGCAAATGAGATTCCGCTATGAGTGACAGGAAATGTAAGGTATTCATCACACTGTCATACAAAGGAGGGGCAGAATCTGTTCTCAATCAACCCAGAGTGCAGGATACGCAACAGTGGGCTCAAGTTACAAGCCAGATTTGTAATCCGGAAAATATCAGAAAAAACATCCTGTTACTGCAGTATGGCAATAGGAGCAGTTACCTCGGGAGGTGGTGAGTGCTCCAACACTGGAGGCGTTCAAGAGAGATTTAGACAACAACCTGGCAGATATCCTTCAATTTGTATTCCTGCATTGAGCAGCGGGTCGGACTTGATGGCCTTATAGGCCTCTTCCAACTGATTTTAAAATATTTTTTAAAATATTGTCTGAGCTGTCTTTCTCTTTCTCTACAGGTATCATTTTTCTTATTCATCATTTTTGTGGTCTACACTATGCTGCCCTTCAACATGCAAGATGCTATAATTGCCAGCATTCTTACTTCTGCATCACATACAATTGTGCTGAGTGTCTGTCTGTCATCAACAGACATAATCAAGGAGCATTTGGTCTGGCAGGTAAGTTTTCAAGTAATATGGATCTTTTCATGAAGAATAACAACATAATTAACTTGAGTAGTAAATATAAATTGAAGTTAGGAATGTGCCAGAAGTCTCTTTTCTTTTATTGAAAAAATGTGAATATTACAGTTCCACTCACTCATTTTTCACTTAGTCAGCACCTAAACTGAGTAGTTTGAATGCCTCACAGTTCCTACACATGTGCAAAGAGGATTATAGTGATCTGTGTATAGTTTAATATTTAAGGCCAGGATCTTGTTGGGCATTGGCAGAATGTAATGCTCCACATTACATTCCTGCCAACCTAGCGGTTCGAAAGCATGCAAATGCAAGTAGATAAATAGGGACCACCATGGTGGGAAGGTAACAGCGTTCCATGTCTAAGTTGCACTGGCCATGTGACCACGGAAGATTGTCTTCGGACAAAACACTGGCTCTATGGCTTGGAAATGGGGATGAGCACCGCCCCCCAGGGTCGAACACGACTGGACAAAAATTGTCAAGGGGGACCTTTACCTTTACCTAATGCTCCACAAGCTCAGAAATGTGAGATATTTCATTTGCACGTATGGTTCCAGTACACAAATGGAGACCCCCATTATGAAAATCTGCATTATTTTTGTACAAGGAGATATTTGATGCCTCCTTGTGCAAAAGTCAGACTTTTCATAGTGTATGCATTGTTTGAGCTCTTTGCACCAATAACGTCCTGGGCACCATTTCTCCAAATGGTGGGAGCTCCAGAGATAACAGTCTGCATGTGCTAGTAGTTGCCATTTGATCAGACAAACCTCCATCTTAAATTATCACTGGACGTTGTAGCAGAAATTTGCTAAAATATCCCTTTTGTCAAAGTGACAAGCATGTCTCTTTCTCAGATTTCAATAGATTTCTAAATCATCCATACTACAGCAACTATCAGTGCTTTGAGAAATTATAGTCTTTTAAAAAAAATCATCATCCCCACTATTTTTAGAATGCTTAATTGTCTTGACTATATCCTCAGACTACTTGTTTCAAAGATGTAATAGCTTCTCAGCAAGTGGTTTAAGGACTACAAGAATTGTTTCCTTCTGCAGCAAACTGTGTAGTTTCTGAAGCTTGTTTATTATTATTTTATGCTTTAAAAATACGTACTGTATCAGGATGTTTCTCTCTTTTGTCTTATCTTGCACTCTTGGAAATGCAAGCAATTTTATGTTAAAATACTAAGGAACATTTCAGTGGAGATTAGGGATGCAAATCTTCAAGCTTTCCTCCTGCTAAGATTATAAGAATGGATTCCCCCACCCACCCTGCTTTTCTTTGTATTTTGGCAGTTTTATGTGAAAAATGGTAGAAATATTTTTGCACAAAACAACTGCTCAGAAAAAAATATATTTTGCACAAAAACAAGGGTTTTAAAAATGTAAAATGTGTGTTTTTCATACACAAACAGGGTTTTTTTGCATATGAGTTCTGTAGGAGTAGAAAAAAAATCTCATGGTAGCTGTCTGTTTTTCATGGTGTGTATCAATATGCATTATTGTGCTGAGACACCCATTTTCAATGAGCATGGGATAATTTTCAAGTATATTTTGGCTGAACTCACATACAACATTTTCCAAAATTAAAAGCTCCCTCTTATTCTGCAGTCCCCATTAGCTCGCTTTCCATGGGATCCTTATGACTTTTAAGGGTAGGGGCAATTAATTTTTTTTTTAAAAAATTCTGAAAATAAAAAACCATTATGCAGCATAGGAATGAGAATAGGATTTCAGCCATTAACCTCCTTAGCAGAGATTATAACTCACTTTTGCATGACTTGGCTGGGTGGACTAACTGATTTTGCTTTATTGTCCATGTTTTTGATATTTTCCAAAAAGAAGTGACAGGCAAAAACAAATGAATGTCTTATGGAAATAAACTGCACAATTCTGAAGCCACAGTAGAGAAAGTCATATTTTGAATAGTTTAGTTTAGCTAAAAGAAAAACAGCTGCATAAAAAAAGGGATAGATGGAAGAATTTCCTTATTTGCTAGAGCTTACTGGTCAGGAAGTTTCATTAGATGTGGTACCACACTCATAGCTTGCAACCATTGCAGCTTGCTCAAGCTGCAGCATCAGCCATAATTTGCCCTGGAGCACTGGTTAAGGAAAGTTATTGTCAAAAGGAATGTTTGCCCTATTTCTTTTTTTTAATTGATGCAAGGAAGGTAGCTGCCATTACAGCAGCACAAACATTATTTTAAAAATTGTTTTGTGCCTGATACATCAATATGTTGGTAAAAGTATATCACCAGGGAGCCTCCGCCATTACATTACTGGGGATTAATATAATTTTTACAATTCTATGGAAAGATACATTGAAATGTTGGACTGCCAATGTCACTGGCAGAGGGGTGATCACCAGTACCGCTGCATGGATATCCCAAGTCTATTGTGTACAATGCATTTCTGCAGGAGCAGCCAGTGCAACAGAGAGACACTTTCCTAAACAGAATCCTCTTCCCAATCAACATTCCCTCTAATTTCCACTCCCTCGTGTGCAAGTCCCCACCACCACATGTGGGGTTTCATTGCAACCAGAACGAAAAAGGCTGGAGATGATAGCTGTGGGTGCACTGTGGGGAGGTATGGAAAGTATTGGAAGAACTAGAAAACATTTCCCTCATGTGACCAGGGTCTGATAGAAGTCTAACTGACTTCTCCTGACAATGGAGAAGTAATGGGGAATATAGGGAGCTCCTTTTTAAAAAAGCTCTGAACTCTTAGGCCCTGTCCAGACAGGTAAGTAGACCTCTGTTTGGATTGCAGTTGGTACAGTTTGGTTTAAATCCAATTATGGCACCCTCACGTTTTTCTATTTAGATGGCTCCATCCTGCCCCTTTAAGAGCTGTCTCCTTTCTGACAAAATGCAAGGGGCTTCCACAGTTTTTGATATGATTCAGTGCATTCCTACTTATTCCATTATGTAGCCAGTGCAGATGGTTATTTCACACTCAGGGCTGTGAGCAGTGTTATCTGAAGTGACAAGCCTGTTACATATTAGGTGGGTTAAAGGGAGGATGGGGGGGGGAACCCTCCTCTATTTTCACCTTAAAAAAATCTGAACAGATGCGGCACAGTTTTAGTTTGAAATTGATTGAAATGTAAAGGTGTGATAATGCTGCCTCTTCGCAAATGGAAGAGGTCTTCTTGTCCATTAGTAATTGAAGAATGATTGGGTCTAATATGGTCTAATACATTATCTGTCTGTTGTTGTCATGTAAGAATGACCCAGAGTATCTTTTTATCAATGCCTTCTAAATATCAACAAAAAGGCTTTAGGGTATCCTGGCTTCTTTTGTGGTTTCCCTCGTGGAGAACCTCTTAATATTAAAATCTGAGTAGTGACATAGAAGAAAGGTAGTTGTTATAGGGAGTGCTTTTGTGGAAATTTCTTCACTTGCACCCCTCTTCAAGCTGTTTGAAATGTACATGCATGAAAGAAGCAAGTGTTTTTTCTGGAACTCTATGCATCTGAGGGCTGAACACCCATCCTTACAGTTACAAAGTGTGCTCTTTTTTTGCTATCCAAAGATGCCATCCATCAAAGCTAGCTTGCAAATGGAACCCAAGAGAGTCATTAAGCAAAAGCAAACTAATTTGCAATTTGCAGAGCTATGAAACCTGTTGGTATAATAAACAAATTTAACCTCTGAAGGAACCTCCTCTTCTAATGATGAGTTTAGTTTAGCATCTGTTGTGACCTGGCTGTATCCTCCTTCTTGGTGCTCACTACTTCTAACATAGACCTCTATTGCCTTGACCGGTAGCTGCTCAGCATGCTGTTGACCATTCTTGCTGCCACTGCCAATGGATATATTGTACTCTTGGAACAATGAGATCATCACGCAGCCAGTCAAAGGTAGCTACATCTAGGTGAGGTGGAACGCAAGTCAGATTGATAACTGGATGACCTATCTGACCATTCCTGTGAACTATGGAGGAATTTAAAGGGGGGGGGCAGCAATGCAATAGCTTTAGATGTCTCCTGGTGAACATTTTTCAAGTGGAGGAGTAATGCCAAGAATGATTGGTCCAAACATTTACGAGAACTTTAACATAAAGCAGCTTAATTCAAAAATGCGCAGAAGGAAGTTAATACCTTTGTTTATTTTGGCTCTTTGCCAACACTTCTCTACCTCAATACTGTGTGATTCATAGGAATCTGTAACAGTATGACAAAGCACTACTTTCCTCAGGGAGACAACGTCATAAAAGCTCATGCTTTTATGTATTATGTAAAATATTAATTTATTTAAAAGACTGAATGGCTGTTTTGTGCTGAATTCTGTCTGCCTAGCCGGCTTCTCTAGATTTCAGTTGTACATTGTCAATTTCCAAAGAAGGTGCAAAAAAGAGAGAGATAATTTGCAAGTGCAAAGCCAATTAATTTTTCTAAATGGCTGTGTTTTATCTTGTAAGCCTTTTAGGAGGAAAAAAAGCACATCACACTCAATTTTCTCTTGCTATTAAATGGGGAAGAGTAGGCAGGCTACGTACTCTGTCTCTTAGATAATCTTGCTCTTCAGTGAACACTTTTTCAAGATGACGCAGCAAGATGGTAACAGGGAGAGCATTCTTCAAATGTTATCATTGGATTCCTCATGGACGTTCTGAATAAATACTGCTTTTGCAGTGTACATGTTTCTCTTCAGACTAGATTTTTAAAAGTGCCTCCTATAACATTTTCTCCCTGTTCTTTTTCTTACAAGAGTTCACATTCAGTTACCGCATCTTGTATGATTTGGTATAAGCCACTTCCATATGAAGCAAAATTCTTTGCCCACTTACCCCGGAATAACCACGCAAGAACAAGTGTATGGGTTAAACACGGGCCGCACTTTATTAAACTCCATTCAGTTCTCATGAATATTGACAATCCTTTGGCAAAGGGGGGGGGGTCCTGCTGTAGTGCAGATTCAGGTTTCCATCTTGGGTTCTAGAGTGACCATCGAACAGCCAATAGGCTGAAGCTAGGCCTCCGTTATCCCCTTCTTAACTACCGTGGGATAACTACCAGCCCCCATTTTGCCCCGGACCCCCTGCCCATCTCTCTGTGCCGACCGTGGGTCCGGGTGCGTCCCCAACGCATCTTTCCCTCCAAGCACTGTAATCAACTGGTCCACAGTGCTGGGAGTTCAGATGAGCTACAATTTCCTGTCATTACCATCAAATCCTGGTTCCAATACCTGTCCAATCCGCACTACCCGCCACAGCATTGGGACTAGCCACACTATGTCCCATGCTCCCCACTGAGCTGCTCCAGCTCCAACAGTAGCCATCCCTTGACGTTCTCCAGAAAGACATCCAAACCTCGTTGAGACAGATGAACACCATCTGACCTGAAAACGTCTGGCCGATCGAGACAGATCCTGTGGTGGCCCACCACTGATCTGAGGCCTTTGCATTTCTCTTTCATTTGTGGGGTACTTAGAGGTGAAAAACTGCTGTGGGGCAACAGTTGGAGGCTTGGCTTTCTGTTTCTGGCAGTTGCAGTTCAGAGCACCCTGCATGCTTGCTTGAAAATAAGAAGGAAATTGAGTCTTGGCCATATTTTAACATGAAGCGGGTCACAATTGACTAGATAGGCGGGATATAAATGAAATAAATAAATAAACAAAAATAAATGAATTTTTAATGCTGCGTTGCAGTGAGATCATCTGCCAATGACATGGATCCTGCAGGTGTTGCCATCTTTTTGTTCATGTGGAAAACATAGAGAAACATTGTGTCCACCACATCCCTGTTCTCTTCACACACTTTTGCTGGTTTATATACAGCTAGAACAGTGGTTCTCAACCTTAGGTAACCCAGGTATTCTTATACTGCAATTCCCAGAAGCCTTTACCATCAACTGTGCTGGCCAGGGTTTCTGGGAGTTGCAGTCCAAGAACACCTATGTTTACCCAAGATTGGTGACCACTGGGCTGCAAGGTATGTAGGAGGTGCAAATTCATTATCATAATTTCAAATAGATGTGAGAGGGCTCTTCAAGGATTTGGGAAAAAATTCCTCCTTAGCAAATGTCATCAGGCATATGGAGTCAAATGAGCAGCATCTTGATACATGCTGTGTGCAGCTATATGCATAAATCTATTGTCTATTTTCACCTTAATCCAGAATTGCACGTGCCAAATCATATTGAGCACAAAAGCTGGCAGCTGAAAGGGGGCTGGAGAAAAATTACTCTCTGGTCTGGTAACTGGCATGTGTATGTTATCCCCAACGTTTTTAGGAGGAACACATTCTCCCTCCACCCCAGGGAAGCAAAAATTGCAGTTTTACTGAATTTCTCTAAATCACACCATCACTTTCTTGTCTTTGTCCTAGATCAGGTTTAATTGCAGTTTTACTGAATTTCTCTAAATCCTACCATCACTTTCTTCTTGTCTTTGTCTTAGATCAGGTTACAAGTCTCTTCCTCCCTTCCGCATTCAAATTTGTATATATTTTAATGCATTTTTCCTGATGTACACATTTCTTTACATGTTTTACCTAATGTATAGATTTTCCCCATTGACTCAACTATTTTTGTGTTTAATTCAATTACATGAATTATAAACTATTCACATTTTAGAACATATACACCATTTGCCATGTACATCTGTTCTTTGAAATGCCCCATAAACCTAAGAAATATGTGAATGCTCAAGATTATGTGTTCCTCCACCCCACCCCTTTGCAAGTTTCAGGAGTTGATGAGAAGCTACTTTCACTGAGACTGTGGAACTCAACAAAATTATTTTTCTTTCTTGTCCTCCATCTGGTCCCTCACATTATGGTCCACACGTTTCAGAGTATTGCATGGTAAAACATTGCCTGTACTAGATAGAGATTTCATATTGGAGAGTTCTCTCTGTGTATGGTGTATGTATGTCACAGCATGTTTGAATACTATGAGGTTAAAAAATATTCCCACACATAGAGAAAATTAAGGTGTTAGAGTGAGGAGTAAGAATCTTCTATATAACATAGTTACCTTGTATCCTTTGTTTGGGCTAACAATTATGTTACTGTTCCTATAGTACAGCAACTTCTTAATAAACAATGACCCTGTTACAAACAGTTTTGGCAGAGGACAATTCAGTTGTGCAATTGTCCCAACTTGCACAGACATTGGTATTGAAAATAATTGCTGGGAGTCTCTCAATGTTTTTCAGAAATTTAATTTTTCTACTATATGTAGAAATGGTGGGAAGGGTTAGGAACAGAGATAATTAATACTCAACATCAGAGAGAGGCCTTGACCTTACTTGACAAGTTACATTATTTCCAGAAAATATGCAAATGCTTCCCTATGGAGCATTCCTGTCCTTAAAGCACAGTATCATGTTCTACACTGATGTTAGGGGTATTTTCACCCCACCATCCTTCTGATATTCCCCATATCTTGCTTCCTGCTATCTCATCTTCTATTACTTTCATCACCTTTTCAAACTTTCTGAAATCATGGTTTATTTTTAGAATCGCTCTTGAGGTGGGATGGGGAGCTGAACACCTCTCATTTGCAGTTGATATGAAAGCCCTCAGCCAGAAGCTTTCAATCAACAGAAAACAGAACAAAACCTAGCAAGGAAGTGGATTTCTTAACCATTTCTCACAGATTTCTTCAAGAGAAGTGGCTATCTTAGAGAAGTTGGATTCAAAGCAATAATTTTTATAACAGCAATTGTGAGAATACAGGAAACATTAAAATATGTGCGGATAATCTAAACGATAACTGGATGGTGGCATTTGAATAGTATTAACTATCTAACTGAAGTCTGAACCATTTCCATTATTTTTGTAGATTCTGGCAAACGTTATCATTTTCATCTGTGGGAACCTTTCAGGAGCCTATCACAAGCAGCTGATGGAGCTTGCTCTGCAGCAGACGTATCAAGATACCTGCAACTGTATCAAGTCACGCATTAAACTGGAGTTTGAGAAACGGCAGCAGGTGAAGTTCTTCTTAAGAATACATGCACCCTTTGTCTTGCTGGGCATGCTAAAGTGATTAGCAGTCAGACTAGAGAGGGGAAAGCAAGTTGGAAATCTGTTGTTTGTTGTAATTTCAATCCAAGTATAGAAGCGGTTATTTACTACAGTAAGGCCCCCATGTCCACTGAGGATTGGTTCTAACCCCCCCATGGATACGGAAAACTGTGGATAATAGTGAACACGCTCTCTCTCTCTATAATAGTCTATATATATATATAAGCAGAAAAAAATCACATGCATTATCAGAACTGACCACTATAGGGAGCACAGTCTCTGGCTCCCTCTAGTGGACTGCTCTGGTAATAAAGGTAAAAAAATTTTTTTCTGGATTTTTTATTTTAATATTTTAAATATTTTCAGACTGTGGATAAATGAAACCATGTATACTGATCCCATGGATACAGGGGGTCTTACTGTACTACTATCTTTATGCATGGATCTGTTTTTCTCCTTTATTTGTATTTATTATAAAGGAAACTGAAAAATGAAAGCAACATTAAACTCTTGGCATCAAGGTTCTTTTTATATTATTTGTTACTTTGGAACTTCAATGAAAACCCATAATTTCTGCTAAAAAAACCCCAGTCCTGGATAGTGTAATGGCATATACCCAGAATGAATGAGAATATTTTATTAGTGGATGAGCCAGCTCCTTCAGAGGGAAACATCATTATAACAGTGTTGGGATACTTTAGGAAGTTTATCTGTCTATTGTAACTACAGAAAATAAAAACTTTTATTTGGATAAATTCAGAGCTATGGAAATGACATGCTTTTTAAAAATACTGTAATTTCACTTCTGAGCACTCAGAGTTCTTTGCCCATGTAAAAACAAAAAGAGTCAGCTGAAAGCTAGTCATCTCCTTTTGTCTAGAGAGCTTTATGTTTACCTGGAACCTACCTGTTGTGGGTCAAAGCATATGAAAAGAGCTGCCTCACAATTAGGACGTGGTCGAATGTAATGTTCTCTAATGTTCTCATGTGCAGTGTTTGCACAATCAACATGCAAGTGAAACTCATTGTTATTTCCAAGTTACCAATTATGGAAAAAAAACCAAGCTAATTTGCAATTTCGGAAGCCACAAAACAATGACTAGAATCCTGGTGGAATTTACATAAGATTTCAGTAACTTACTGCAGCTAATTGATGAGGTTTCAGAGCACATCTTGCTTGCACAATCAATCTCATGACCAGTTACACAAAAGTTGTGGCCTGGCAGCTCATCAATTGACCATAAACAGCCACTGCAAATTACACAAACATTACTCTACTCTTTCAGTAGAAGTGTAAGATAATCACACACCCTTTCTCGACTTGTGACAGTTCTGCTTCTAACTGCAGACTCCCTGTCCTCTTTGTTTGGCCCATTTCTTTTCTTTCCCTTTTTCTGCTCTGTCATTCCCTTATTTTCTCTGGACTTCTTGTTGGTGCACTGTCTAGTCACCTTTAGCTTTTCCTGTAGTGCAGCTATATAGCTATGGCTTGCTTCTAAAGCTAGGAATGTCTCTTCCAACATCATCACTCCTTCTACCAAGAAGGCAACTGTGTTTAATAGTATAGGCAGTCTCAAAACTCCCAAGTGGCAAGAGTGGGTGTGTGAAGCTGTTCTATTAGTATATAAATAACCAATAAAAGGCTACTAGCAAGCCCTATAGCAGCATAGGGCTCACCAAACATTAATAAGGTTACATGAGGTGTATAAATTGTGTGAATCAAGCATTTTTTTTCTTATTTTGTATAATTTATTCTCATTTTTCTAATACTAGGAAAGGATCAAGGAGCTATGGATGGTGCTTAAACACTACCCACAAGCTATTTGAAATCTTAATCATCCACGCCTATGGTTTCAGAGGTTTTGGTTGGTGTTGTCCAGACATATTATGTTTCGAACCACAAGGATTAGACCTTTTTTAAAAAAATGGCAAAGCTAAGATTTCTGGGAAGCTGCACACTTTATCACATGCCTCATTTCATCTGTGTTTTCTAAGAGTAACAACATATTCACAACTCTGTTTACAGTGTTGTAAGTTTTAGTATCATTTATACGTGTACTAGAAGAATTGTAAATTTAACATTTGGGATGCTTGGTTTAAGTGTCTACCGATAGACATAATGGGTCTTATTCCAAAGTAGACTTATGTGAGTTTGATTTATTTATTTCATTTTTATGCTGCCTTTTATCCCAGTGAAGGGTCCCAAGGTGATTCACGAATTTTTTAAAAGCAAGCCAACTAGAATACAATACATAATTTGTTATTACGTAACAATAAGACTATGATAATATTTAAAAAATTGGTTTAAAGCCATTGAAAACACACTTAAGGACCTTTACATACAGACATAAAGACAGCAACAACATGTAGCATGCCAAAATCAAAAGCTCTTCTGTTCAGTTGTTAAAGCCTGTCTAAAAAGGAAGATCCCAAGAGAGAGCATTGCATAACTTGGATGCAGCTCCTGAGAAGGACCCCTCTTGTGTCCTCACTAGATATGCCTCTGAGGGTGGCAGAAGAGCCTCCCCAAAAATTCTTGAGAGAGGGAGAGTTATACAGGGAGATACTGTGCAATCCTTTGGTTAGTCGGATCCAAGCTGTATAGGGCTTTATAGGTATTACTGTATTTAGCAGTTTCAATTGTGTCTGGAAGCTAGTCTAAAAAGGACTTTCATGATCCCTGGAACTGGCCTCAGTCCATAGTCTAGATATAGCATTTTAGACCAGCTAGTACATTTTCTGGAAACTCTGCAAAGGCAGCTACTTGTAGAGCAGGTTACAGTAGCCTCGGCTGCATGTAACTAAAGCCTTTGTCACTATAGCCATGTCAGGCACCTTCAAGAATAAGAGCGGCTTTAACTGCGCAATAATTCCTGAAAGCCTGGCTATTCATCCTCAGGGATGAGTCCAGGAATACATCCAGGCTGAGAGTTTGAGTTTTCAGGTGGAGTGTAGCCTTATCCAGCAAAAGTCGGATCCTTATTCCCTGATCCGCCTTTTAAGTGGTCAGGAGCACCTCTGTCTTGTCTAGATCAAGCTTCAAGCTGTTTGCACACATATAGTCCATTACTGACACCACACGCTGGTTTATAACCAAAACACTTCCTTTGATTTAGATGCAAAGGAGTTGATATCATCAGCATACTGATGGCACGAAACCCCAAGACTGCAGACAGCCTCTCCCAACAGTTTCAAGTATATATTAAATAGAACGGGGAACAGAACATACTCTTAAGAGGCCCCACAGGGCAATGGCCAAGGTGTCAAAATCTCCAATGTGACTTTCTTTCCTGGGGAGGCATCCCTTCCCAGTAGTGGTTCACATACTCTCCGGGTAGCTGCAAGCACCTTTCTGATGCCTTCTCCTTCTCCTTTTAACGCCTTAAACCTAGCCACTATTTCTAGTGCCAAGAGTAAGAACCGCCTCCGTGGGGGTTTGAAATCAGAGTTTTTCTTCTCCTAGATGGGCTGCCTTCTAAGGCTGAATGAGTCCCACCTACCCGGCCTGTTCCCTCATGGCATGGACGGCAATGGCGGCACCTCAGTGGGGGTTAAAAATCAGAGTTTGGAACCAGTTGTATTGGCTCTTGCCTTTCCACTGGACTATTTCATTGATGTGGAGAGGGGGGATTTGCTGGCTGGGGAACAGCCTATCCTCCATATTATTTTACCCAGGCTTCGTGCCCTGAAGAGGACACTCCATCTTCGCGTACAGCGTCAAAACGCTAGACGCTGTTCCAAGTCCTCCATACAGAGCACGTTACCATAGTCTCTCGAGACTGAAGGATGCCTATGATGAAGAACTGCCACTCTAAAAAACAAACAAACAAAACACAAACAAAAAATTTACTTTGGGGGGGTTGCTGCTCCTGTCATGCCACAGCCAGAGCCTTCTTGGACCAAGCCGGCATCTTTTTGTATTCAGTTGTTGAGCGAGACTGAAGGATGCCTATGATGAAGAACCGCCACTCTAAAAAACAAACAAACAAACAAAACACAAACACAAAAAATAAACTTTTGGGGGGTGCTGCTCCTGTCATGCCACAGCCAGAGTCTTCTTGGACCAAGCTGGCATCTTTTTGTATTCAGTTGTTGAATGAAAAAGTGTCTCCATTTTAGTTAATCTCTTTATTCTTTCTGCCTTGTTCACATAGACTTGTGTGATGTGGGTGTGTTTTTTTCTGTTTGTAGTCTCCTTAATCTCCTTTTACACTATGTATAAAATAAATACTAAGGAGAGTTTAGTTCAAACAAACAAGGAATGTTATCAAGTTAAGATAAATGATATAAAAAGATAGACAGCTTCTGTGGTCTATAACATAAAAGTTTAAACAACTGAAAATTATAAATATAGTCTTTCTGTATTTCAAGTTCCAAATACATTCTTTGCAGACTTTCCTATTTCCCACCTTCATACACACTGTGCTCTCAAGACAGACATTTTCCGACAGGCTCAAGAACAGACTGCTTCTCCTGAATGACTGTAAAACAGGCTTATCACTAGAGATGATGACATTTGTTCTCCTGAATGACTGTAAAACAGGCTTATCGCTAGAGATGATGACATTTGTATATGAATACGAATAGCCCCGCGCAGGTGGTGATAATGAGGGTCCAGCCCCATGGGGATGGATGGTCCACTCACCAATCCACCGCTGCGACAGGTGGTGATAATGAGGGTCCAGCCCCACTCACCAATCCACCGCTGCAGCAGACAATGCAATTCTTCCAATGGCTCTGCAGATCGTGATCTGTGAGTCACTCTTCAACCTTGTAGTGAGGTTTGTTCTCCCTCCTCCTGCCAGGAATGGCTAGCGGATCCCAGTCTGTGAAGCCATTAGAAGAATTGCAGTGTCCACAGCAGCACCGGATCAGTAAGTGAACCACCCATCCCCATGGGGGTGGACCCTCATCATCGCCACCTGTGTGGGGATATTTGTAAACAAATACAAATACCCCCATCTC